CACTTCTATCATCGTATAGTATGATTTTTCACAAAAGTACACTGTTTTTTAATAGATCTCTATAGTTTTATCGTACATTCGGATGAAACGCAATTCTTTTGAATATCCAATTTTATAATTATTCCTTATATCGTTGTACAACTTTTTTTCGCCATTCTATTAAACTGTGATCATTAGGATTGGATGACAAAATGTCAGAGATCTCGAATTTTTAACATTACATTAGTCTATACGTTAGTAATGTTTATAACATTATAATACGCAAAATTTAATTTTTTAATTGTTTAATATTTCAAAAACTAGCCAAAATTAAAATTCTATATTTGAAGTCCTGGCTGCTTCTCTATAGACTTTTTAAATATCACGCGATTGTGACTCCGGGACAGAATTAGTCTAATTACAGTTTAATTACAGTTAAATCTCAGTACAAAACAAGGATATTATTCCAATTGATTCGCCCCCCTTTGAGATGTTTGCTGAATTTGAAAATTTAACTGTTCGGAAGATAATTTTGCGATACTTAACGTATAAAAGACAGCGAAAGACAAAAAGTGATATAAAAATTAGATAAGAGTTACGATTAGATTATGGATATATTTGCGTTCCTTGAAAATTGCATTTGCGTGTGCTTTTGTTTACTTTAGACGCTCAAATTAGGTCTGATGCAGTTACGAAGGGTCTGAGGGTGGCGATGCTTTGGAAGAACAAAGACGCAAAAATCTTTTGTTTCATAAAAAGAAGGATAAGAAAATGTTTTATCTCCATTCTTTCAAAAGAATCACTGTTGCGATGATTTGCCGTAAATCTGTTGTCTGCATTGAGCCTAATATTAGCTGCTAATTGCTTGTTCTTATTTTATATAATATATATAATAGATTTCGAATCGAATTGGTCTACCTTCCAAACAGAGAATTCTCGAAGAAAAGATTTTATATCTTTGGAATTTCACATCTCATGCCCTTATAATTTTATTTCGATGGCCATTTAAAACTAAATAAATATAGGGTAGTCAGTCACCAGTTGCCAATTAAAATAAAAATCATTTTAACACGTTGAACGCCACTTAACCCAGATGTTACGGCTATGTTTTTGTAGGGGCCCTGTAATTAGTAAATTACTCTCTTTTTCGTCTAGTTAAATAGGATTTTTCAAGTTTAATGGAATTAGCACGTGTAAATATAAAATATACAATATAATAAAAATAAAATTATAAAATAAAATTAAACATGTACATATATTATAAAAAATATACATATACATATATTATATATAAAATATTTAAAATAATAAATAACATTGTGTTTGAACTGTTTTAACTTATGGTATAAAACAGTTCAATCATATTTGAGGTGATTTGGGACAATTAAGACAATGTGTTATAGTCCTTTTTAAATTTTTTTTCGCTTCTTGGCTTTCGAAAATTTGTCTTTTCTTTTGGTAACATATAGAGCACATCCTTCTTTTTTTATATGGGTTGTTTATAGTCGTATCAGCTGCTTTGGTTATTAGCAACTATTTAACTTTCGTTGGGCTATTTTTGTCAACAGTTGAATTTCTTTTAAGAATCGGATGAGGATTTCTATTTTTTCTTTCTTAAGGTTGTCCTTGATTGTGGGGCAAATTTTTAGGCGGGTGCAGGTGTCTTTGTATTTTGGGCAGTGTAGGATTAAGTGGTTAGTTGTGATGGTCTTCTCACACTTGTTGCAGATGGATGCAGATTCTCTTGCTAGTAAGTGTGTGATTTTTGTGTGGCCAATTTTGATGTTTATGGCTACCTGATCCATTCTGAGAAATTTGATTGATTCTGTTGGTGTTTGGGTGGGATTATGGATGAGATTTTTGATGTGTGGAGAAGCTATGTTGCTCCACTCGTGTTCCCAGTTTGCTAGTGGTTTTCCTTTTATGGACTTAGTTAGGTCTTCTAAATATGTTTGTGTATAAATGTGTCTATGAATGATAATTGTAGTATGGGTTAATAATTGTAGAATCGTAGAATTTTTTATGGCATGGGTGGTGGATAGGATTTCCCTTCTGACTGTTAATGATGATTCATTTGACACTTTGAGGATACTTGCAACAGGTTGTGAAGGCACCTACAATTGTTCGGATTGCAGCATTGTGTATGAGGTCCAGTAGTTGGATGCAGAATTGTATACGACTGCTCCATAATCAAATTTAGCTTTGATGAGTGCTTGGTATGTATTTTTGAGTACTGATTGGTCCACTCCCTAGTTTTTGGCTGTTATGATTTTTAGGGTCCTGAGACAGTTGGCACAGTATTTCTTTAGCTTCGTGATGGCTTTTCCATGTTAGTTTGGGGTCGAAGGTTATTCCTAGGATTTTGATATTGTTTACTTACCTGATCATGGTATTACCTAGCTATAGGTCAGGTTTATCTTGCTCGGTTTATTTTGCTCGGTGAAGATTATACTTTTAGTATTAGTTATGGAGAACTTGAAGCTGGATAGGTTTGCCCATTCGTATAATTTATTTAAGGTGAATTGTAGGGTTTTCTGGGTCGTTTGTGTATATGTTTTATCTTACATATGATAGTTAAGTCATCAGCAAAGAGGAAGGCCTTAACTGGAGGTGTTATTTGACTAATGATTTCATTTATGGAGATTAGAAATAAACTCAGGACTGAGCCTTATGGGACGCCATTTTGTATTTTTGAATATAAGCTGGTATTGTTTGTACGTACTTTCATGCGTCGAGTTTTGATAAAGTTTTTGATGAATGTGAGTATATTACCTTGGAGGCTAAAGGTTTTAAGGTTGGAGATTGGAGAACGTTGTCTGCATACCATGTCGTACGTTTTTTCTAAGTCTAGGGCAACCATTACGGTATTTTGGTTGGTTATAAATTCGTCGCATATGTTGGCTTCTATATTTATTAATTGGTCTATTGTAGAGTGCATTTGTCTGAATTCACTTTGATATGGGAATCCACGTTGTTAGTTTCGAAGATCCAGCAGAATCGACGGTTTATGAGTTTCTCCTGTTTGAGGACAATATAAAACTCGCGTACATATCTAACATTAAGTCATCTTTTAAAACATCTTTTGATATTATGATTCTGTTATCTTCACATGTCACAATTTCCTCATTGTTCATAACTTCCGGCGTCGATTTTCTATTGCATTTTAGAATTGTAAAATGTTCTCAAATTTGGATGTTGCAAGGCCAGCTCGTAGCTCATATAAACTCTTTGCGATCATATTTTCCGTAGGCATGGTAATCGTACTGGTAATCGGAATTATTTTGGGATAATGCGCGCTCAGTCAATTATTACCTAAAAAAAAAAAAGTATAAATTTTATTCAAATGAGTTTGTTTAAGCTGTGCGCATATTATTTATTATCTTAATATTCGATATTTTGTATAAATTTACCTATAGTTCTCTTTGCAATCCCCTTGCATTTATTGTTACCATCTCTACTGTGTAATATGTAGTGCAGTGATAATTTTTTTGCCTTTCTATAATAGTAGCAATGTTTCTCCAAGTTGCCGAAAACATTCATGCTTTTAAATGTAAGCTTTTGTATTTTCGGTTTTGATCAATTGTTCCAGTTGTGTAACATTTCAGTTTCAATAATTCATCAGGATTTAAATCTATTAATTTTTTATAAAGGTGTAATATAATTCTTGCGGTTACTGGGAGATAAGGTTGTATCAATGATTCTGTAGTAGAACTCCCATAGTATGGTAAAAATGAATGTGTGTATCCGGTGTTGGAATTTGTCAATACGTACATGCGAATTCCCCATTTCGTTGGTTCTCTAGGAATAGTAAATAATAATACTGATCCTTCCTTTGAATTTTATGACATTCATCAATTGAAATTTCTGTATTTGAAATAAAATAATCTTTGAACTTATT